CTTAATCAAGATTTAGATTTCAGAAAAAGAAAAAAAATACAAAGAATAATGAAAGAAAAGATTACTCCCCATACCCAAACTCTCAGTTGATGTAGTGGAACTATTTTGTAGAATTTAGAAAACATTTGGGTAAAACAGCATTGCTTAAATTATTAATGGTCTAGTATAAAAGTGCTGGTCCACATAGAAGCCTATTATCCAGAAAAAGCCCTTAGTCTATGAGTTTTACTAAAGGAAGAGAAGCTCAAGTATAATGATCTTGAATCAAAAATAATGTCATCGGTCATTTTATTCAATAAAAGTCAAAGAAGTTCAATAAGCCAATGAAGAGCAAGCAACTGTTATTTGGTCGAATATTCTGAAACAGTCAACCCCTGCATCTATTCAATTTGAACTTGAAAAGAATTCTTCATAGTTTGTGAAGCCCACTGGTGAGCTATATGTCATTGATGATCAACAAAGTTCATTAACTTTAAATTTTTTAACCTCTAAAAATAATAAGAAACTAAAACTAAAAGCTCAAGATTGACAAATTCTAAAATTGCCGTTGCATACTGTGAGGTAACTAGACTCAAGACTCGAAAAAGAAGTGGGTTCATCACTAAAACCGAAGAGAATGTTTTGAAAAAGACAAAGTTAATATTACCAAAGAACTAAAAAAAAGTATGATCAAGCTCAACAAATGAAAATTAAAGAAATTAAAAAAACTAGACTGGAGGAGTTCTGCTTAAAATATCCAGAAGGTAATCAATCACCAATTGAACCCTTCATACCTGTCTACTTTCAAGAAGAAGTAAAACATAAGAAATCAAAAGACACGTTAAAATAGCCTCTGTTAGATTGATCAGAGCGCAGAATGAATATCATTCAAAACATGTTGATGGATTCTTCTGCAGTTCAACTTAAAAATATGTAAAAGTAGTTTATTGTATTTTAGAGACAGATGTAATGTGTTTTAATTGCCAAGACAACAAGCCAGAGTGCTAATTATTACAGCCAGCAAACAGGCGCACTGTTGAAGTATTCAGAATACTGAATAACTCCCCCGGACCTCGATTGGATCGTTATGGCTAAACATAAGCTAATACTATCTGTTTACTTTAGAACTACTATCAAAAGAGATTATCAATTAGGAAAAAATGCATCCTCAACTGTTTACTCTCGTGAATTAAACTTTTTGAATATCAAAGATTTTGACTCCATTACCAGTAATCCTCTAATATAGATAAGCTTATCGCTTTGTTTAGCGCCAATTGAGGCTTTAATGGAAAATACCAGAAAGTAATTAAAACCGGAATTCATCATTTTGTAGAGAATTATCAGGGCCACTTTTCCACACAAAAATTACGGAACTTATCTTGATTCTCAAAATAGTTACAAATATTTACTGAAAATCTACAAATTGACAGCTATCCAACCGTTTCAAAGTATAATGATTGAAAGCAATTAGAGCTAGAATTTAGCAACCTTTTATTACAAGATAAACAATGGATTTTACATGTCATTATTTTATTTAAATCGTTAAATCTGAAAATCGTTCTCGTTGTCGAAAGGAAAAAACCTGTTCTTTTACTCAAACTAAAGCATGTTTTTTCCTGCCACCTGTCCCGGTGAGCCAAAAGAGAGATGGGATCATAGAAGTTGATTTCTCAGAAGGAACGAAAAAGTTGTTTTCATCATCTGTTTATGCTTATCGCATCAAACATGGAAAGTATTTTTTAAAAGCTTATTTCTTCAAAATTAGAGAGAAAAATTTATGTCATGATTTTATACGTCAGTTCACGACTGTGGAGTATAACTAAAACTGAAAAAAATTGATGGTATATAAGTTTGGACTAGCACTGCTTGGTATATAGTGGCGGTATATATTTTAGGCAAAAAAAAGGAAGGCTAACAAAAATTGACATTATTCTAAAGAGGGTTATCCAAAAATGTACAAAGGTTGACAAAGAGAGAAGGGGTCAAAAAAATACTAAAATCATTTATGGAAAGCCCCGTAGAGGTCCTCCATAAATTACGTCACGTAATTTTAACTGTTACTAAATCACTAACCTCTTCCTACCTAGAACGTGACGGAATTTATGGACAACCCCCTGCAAAGCATTTATATTTTATACAACTTGTGTTTAAGCTTTGTTATTATTAGTTCAATTTAAATAATATTGTTGCAAATTAATAGCATTTTAATCAGTAGCTTAGCGACAAAAAAAAAAGTTTCCAGAAAAATTTTAATCCAAACCGCTAAATTTAATTTCTGCCCCCCTCTTTCTTTCTCTTCTTTTTTGACAAAAAATTATTTATGAAAAAAACCTTATTCTTAAACACAATTTTAATTTAAAAATACATACAACTATATAGTATATTATATTAGTACATAGAAACCAACACGTGCAATATGTAAGTCTATATGTTAAAAACTTAATAAAAGTGTTTTTTCCTTGCCTTCATAGATGCAAATTGCTCTAAAACATCTTTTTAAATTTAGTTGAGTTGCAGATTCTGCTTAAATAGCTAATAGGCGTAGCATAGACAAACTGGGGTAATAATTATTGGGCTCTAGTCCAATAAACAACATTAGTAAGGAAAGAGGCGTGAACTTCTTAGTTAAATGCTCCTCAATTGTGTTCTGCGATAAGACGGATAGGTCAGTGGCGGATTGAGGTTTAGTGTCGCGAGGGGGCCAAGTCAATAAATAGGGGCGACCGGGGTTGCCTTCAGTAATTTAATCTTATATATATATATATATATATATATATATATATATATATATATATATATATATATATATATATATATATATATATATATATATATATATACATATATATATTAATTGTTTTAGGGGGCGCCGTTAGACCGTTCTAGGGGGCGTGGGGGGCAGCTCGCCTCCCCACGCCCTATACTAAATCCGCCACTGGGATAGGTCTTATTGGAGCACCTTAATCCTCCCCCCTTCCCCCGAGAAGAAAACTTTGGCTGGGAGGAAAGCTTGTAATGGGAATCTATATTTCGTGACACAGGCAATGAACCTGGGACCTCTCGTTTCTGAACCAGAGCTCTAACATTTATCAAATGTACCAAACTAATCATTCAAATTCACTAATAATGTAGCTCTTTCTGTTAGATGGAAAATACTTGAAATAATGTCTGATAAAGTAATTAATGTCTATTGTAAAACTAAAATCTTCTACAACAATTATGGTATTTTAAACAACCATAAAAAAATACAACTTCTAATAATTAAATCCACAAGCATTATGCTACTTGATATTATTGAGTTTTATTGGATTATTCTGCTCATATCCGAAACATATGTTAAGCTTTTGGTACTTATATCGAAAGCCATTTAATATTCACCTCGTCTTAAAGCTAATCAAGTCAAATGTCTCGTATTAATGTTAGTCAATAAATTTCATTGTCTCCTAAATGTTACTAAAATCTGCCCTTACTATTCGTCATAGTCTGAAGTTGTTAGGGTTAGACAGTTTGATTAAGTACTGAACTTGGTTAATACAGTTAGAAAGTGGGAATGTTTATCACAGGATAAATGCTCTTCCGCAGTGCTCTGTGATAAGACAGTTAAGTCTGTAAAGGAAGAACTTTAATAACTAAAAAGAAGAAATGAAATAATTTTTTTTTTTTTGTTAAATCAGCACCGCTATCAAACGCTTGATAAAAGGATAGATAGGATAAGCAAAGGACAACCAATTCTTTATAAATTATTTGTTACAGCTTTTATACTGGTTTTTAATAGCTTTATATAAAGTTTTAGTGTAATATAATTTATACTATATTAATTATAATTTTTCTATTACACTGATTTTACGGACACGTCATAGCTGCCTGAAAGTGAACAAGCATTAAAGATGATTTAAATAAATAATCAATTGATATTAAAAAAATCAATTTATTTTTTGCTAAAAGCCATGTTTCCAAATATTTTTAATGCAACGGTTTCTAGTCACTTAACAGCAGATAAATCAATATTAACACAGTATGGTTTTTCGTTATTTATATTTTTTTAATTAATATTGATTAATGCGATTTATATATGTTGGAATGTTAATGTTATGGTGAATATAACCTTTAACATGGGTTTTATTAATTTGCAATAATATCTATTATAAACTCGCTATATAAAAAAAGGTGTGAATCTGTATCATAAAACAATTTTTCTGACTCAGTTTTTTATTATAAAATTTAATTAACAGACTAATAATTAGTATTCGTAAAATAATTTTACGAATAATAAATAAATAAAGACTAATAATTAGTTAAATAAGTTACGAATAATAATAAAAAAAAAAGTTAAAAAACTATGATATAAAACCAATTTTAAAAATTGGTTTTATATCATAGTTTAACTTTTTTTGTTTTGTTTTTAACTTTAAATCAGTTTTTTAATTTTGCTAGCAATTTTTCAAAAGGTTTGTGAAGCTTATTATGATTATTATGTCATTATAATTCTAGGAACACACTAGATTCTAGGATCACACTAGTTTAAGGAATCAATTTACTCTTTCACTGAGAGTTTCAGAGACTCTGCATCCAAATCAAGACATTTATTATTGTATTGACATCTATATTTTTAATATTTTTTTATAAAAATAAAAAAACTGTTTAAAAACTATCTTGCTTCTAGATTATTCCAATAAACATTTAATATTATAAAGATATAATTTTTGTATTTATTAATAGTTTTATAATAAAATTATACTATAAATAATTAAAATTATACTATAAAATAGTTACAAAAATTGAGTGAACTCAACTCAAAAATCTTGAAAATAAAAAACAAAAACCTTTAACGTTAATTGAAAATTAACTATTAAATACATTTAAATCCATATAAATGTTTGCTTAACTTACATTAATTTAAATAAATCTAAAAAAATAACAATAAATAAAATAACTCTTAATAGTACTTTTGTAACTGTACTGCTAAAATAAATATTTAGCAAATATTTTTTAATAAATGTCTTGCATTTTTGCTTTTAGGTTTAATAAAATAATTATTACATTTTAAATCGAAATGGCAATTATATTGGTTTTATTATTTTTATATTTTATTGAGAGTGTTCTTTTATCATCAACTCAAAATGAAAAAGACTTTTTTAAAGAATATGATTTTTTTACGGAAGAACAGCGTATAAGGCTGAAAGACAAAGCCAAAGAAATGTTTTATTTTGGTTACGATAATTATATGAAGTATGCGTTTCCACTTGATGAGCTTAATCCAATATATTGCAGAGGAAGAGGTCCTGATTTGAATAATTTGTAAGAGATGGTTTAAGATAACTTATTATTATCTCTACCTAACATATATGCATATATATATATATATATATATATATATATATATATATATATATATATATATATATATATATATATATATATATATATATATATATATATATAATATTTATTTATATACATATAGCAAAAAAAAAAAAAATTTTTTCTCAGATATTTTTTAACTTTATTTAAAATATGTTAATAACTTTTATCACACAATTTTTGTCATTAAAAATAAATAAATAGTCAATAAAACAGTTAGACTTACAACGAAACTATGGAATTAGTAAAAATCAACTAAAATAGAAAAATTTAACTTTTTTTAAAAAAAATCTATGTTGTTTAATATAGAATGCTTAATGCAAATACATTTTCCTTTATTACAGCTATACAACTAAATAGAAATTCAATCAGTTTTAAGTAAAACATTCATTTTTAATACTTGGTCCCATAACATTTTGCATCAATAACAGCTTAGCATCTGTCGGGCTTGCTTTCAACTAGTTTTGTTAGCAAGCCAATTTCCAGTGAATTCCAACCAACAAAAGTGTCAAAAATAATTCATTTTTATTACAAGGTTTTCTGTCTTTTAGTTTAGAATCTAATATAGACCACAGGTTCTCAATTGAATTAAGATCTGGTGATTGTGCCAGCCACTTAAAGGTAGGCATACCAGCCTTTTGTATATATCTTTTATTTTTTTTTTGCTGTATGCTTTGGGTCATTGTCTTGCTGAAATATATAGTCTCCATCTGAAAAAGATGTGTTATACTAGGTTTTAATTGGTGAACTAAAATATAATGGTACTTATGTTGGTCCATAATTCCTTCAACTCTGTTTCCCACTCCATAAGCATCAAATGCACTCCAAACCATGATTTTTTTGTCATGTTTTACTGTAGCACGTCTGGATTATATAGTTCACCTTTTTTTTCCAGGTTTTTTCTCGATTACCATATTGTAGCACAAAAGGTGACTGTCCATATGACATGTTTCCATTGGTCTGAAGTCCAGTTTAAATGATCTCTGCACCATTTTAGTCTCTTAACACGATTTTTCTTGTTTATAAAAAAGGCTTTTTTGTTTGCCACCCTAATGTAAACTCTTCACCTTTCTTTATTCTTGCAACAATTGTTTTGTTAACAATTGTATTGTTAACAATTGTATTGTTAACAATTGTATTGTTAACAATTGAATTGTTAACAATTGTATTGTTAACAATTGTATTGTTAACAATTGTATTGTTAACAATTGCATTGTTAACAAATGTTTTGTTAACAATTGTGTTGTTAACAATTGTATTGTTAACAATTGTATTGTTAACAATTGTATTGTTAACAATTGTATTGTTAACAATTGTATTGTTAACAATTGTATTGTTAACAATTGTATTGTTAACAATTGTATTGTTAACAATTGTATTGTTAACAATTGTATTGTTAACAATTGTATACAAGGTTTAAACTTTGCTCTGACTCAATGATATCCTACGATTCTTCATCACTTCCCTCACAATCAATTGATCTTCTCTTTCTGTCGTTTTTTGCTTTCTTCCTGACCATGACTTTCTGCTAATTGAATTTTGAGAAATAAATCTGGACACAACTCTTTGAACTGTAGATTTACCACATCCAACTTCTTTGGAAATATTATGCAAAGACAATCTGCATTCTGGATTTGAATTATTCTACCTTTATCAAAGTCTATAACGTGTTTTTTTCCTAAATTGATATATATGAATTATAACTGATAAACTAATGATATAATTTAAACTAAATGCTCAAATATTTTAATTATGAATGTTTTATGCCTATTTAATGGTTGAATTTTTGTGGTAGTAAAATCAAAAGCATCTTTGCCATTGTTGCCATTTAATTATATATTTTCTAATTATATAAAATTGCCAAAATAAAAATTTAAATAAAATAATTTTTTTGAGTCATGAAGGTATGAAAAGTTAAAAACAACTTTGCGAAAAAACAATATAAAATGTAACACTTTATAATGAAGAAAACTTAAATGGGAAATATAATATAATGTTAAAATATAATGTTAAAGATATCCTGTTTTTTACCTGTTGTTAGTTTGAGGGCCCACCTTTTTTTTTCAATTTCTTTTCAATTTGAATATTAAATAGTGTAAATATATTAAGTATCTAACATTGAAAACCAAAAAAATTTTAAAATTTTATGGAAATATCAACTTTACTTTATTATAAAAAGTGTAAACAATTTTTTCATTGGTTTATGTTAGTTTTCGAACAATTCTGCAGTTAAGTTGAATTTCATAAGTTTAATCAATTATTATTATTTTTTTTTTATTAAATAGTATAGTTTATTATTTGTTCTTATTTTATAGTTAATTTTTTTTTTAAATAAGTAATATAACATTGATTTTTATGACATTTTAAAACCTTTTTTTTTGAGGACACTATATATATGTTAGATAGCCTAGCTGTGACTATATATATATATATATATATATATATATATATATATATATATATATATATATATATATATATATATATATATATATATATATATATATATATATATATCAGGCTTGGACAGGAATGGTGTGCGATTGAGCGTTATTGCTGACCATTGATGATTTAGATATTTTAGAAATGCGCTGAATGTATAAACGCTAAGCTAAACTTAAACTAGAAAAAACTATGGAAAAAAACTTCTAACAAAAAAAGAAACAAAAAAAAAATTGTTTACAAAGAAGAAATCATATAAGTACAGGCTTGGTCGGGAAGCGGGTGCAATCGCACTTGATAACTGACCACGGAAATAATATTTAGTTGCGAAAAACAGGCCAGATTTTTTATTCGTTTTAGAATGTTTAAGTTTATGTATGTTTCCTTGTTTGTCCGCAAAATAATAAGTTCATTTTATCTTAAATTTTATATTTTGTTTTACGGACTAACATGAAAACATACATAAACTTGAATGTTCTCAAACATCTTAGTACGGAAAAATTAAAAAAGAATATTCGTGAACACAAAAAAACCCGCCAAATCTACGAACAACTAATTCTATTAGTTCAAAAAATACTAACCGAAATTTCTAGAGTATTCAAAAAAATACTAACCGAATGTTCTGATTCTTCTGTTGAAATATTTTAAAAAATTGTATTATTTGAGTTTTGTTACATTTTTGTTGAGATTTCTAGCATAAATTATTTTAAGAATATACTATCAAACGAATTAGTATTTTAATTCTTGGAGCCACATCTACAAAGCTATACATGTTGTAAACTAACAATATTTGTTTACAATAATAAATGTTTCTAATTTATATTTTTTAACTTGTCAACATTTTGTTAATATATTATAGACTTTATTAGTATATTCTAATTTTTTATATACAAGGGATGTATTTTTATGTATGTAATGTATTTTTATGTATGCAGTGGCGTTCCTAGTTATGGTATCACCCGGGGCGGCAAATAGGGTGTCACCCATATATTATATGTAATTATTTTTTATACGAAATTATTAAAGCAGTATTTAGAAACGTTGACACATGTAATTTTTTACCTTGTTTTCAACAATAATAATTTAGTGTCTTTGTTATGTAATGATAACTATATCTTTCAGCATTCAGCATTTCGTAGGTCGTGTAAATAAATACCCACTTATTTTTTTATGTAAGACTGTTTAATTATAAAACAAAATAAAATATAAGATATTAATAAATTATGAGTCACCCAAAAGTGGATGACACCCGGGGCGGTGAGCCCCCTGCCCCCCTTTTCCCCATAGATGCTCCACTGTATGTATGTAAAGTATTTTTATGTATGTATTTTTTTTGTATATAATTTTATTTATGTGTATTTTATTCAAATGTAATCTTTTAAAGCAATATGTGTGATTGATTTTGTAAACAAAAATACTTTCAATAATAACTGCGTTTTTAATGAAATTATTAATAATCGTCAAAGTTAATACAAATAATTTTAACCACTAATCCATTTTCCTCAGTGTACCCGATAACTGATTATTTCTCTTAAGAAAGAAAAGTTTTTAAGTTCTTAGAAATTGGTTTACTAACTTCTATTATTTTTGCTTCAGCCATTCTTACAAACTCGTTACACATAGAGTTTTTCTACTTCTACTTTTTTCTGTTTTAAATACTAATTAAAATTATAAAGCCCACTTACTAAAACATCGTCAGAAGTATTGTGAAGCAGTTCCGCTTCCTCCTCACAATGTAATTTAACGTTCTTTTAAATTTCTATCTAGCTAATTGAATTTCTATAGTAACTCAATGGTTTGATTATTTTATTTGTTCATCTTACTAAGAAATAAGACATAAGTATATAAATAAGAATAAGACATAAGTATATAAATAAAAACTGGAAATAAGACATAAGTATATAAATAAAAATTATATATACTTTTTGATAAATCAAAGAACATTTGTTTCTTTATAGTTGTTACTTTATATAAAAAATGTAATTTTATTAAAAAAATTATAAAAGAGCAATGTTTCAAAAAAATTGCTTTAATACATTTATTTTGCTTAAAGTTTTTTCGCGTTAAAAACTATTTTTCTTTTTTTAACTGTCTCTCATCGGTCCAGTTAATCTTACTGCGCTTTTTTGTTTGTTTTTGAAATGTTCTCAAAACAACTAAAAAATCTGGCCGGTTTTTCGCTAACTAAATAATATTTCCATGGTCAATTATTGAGTGCGATCGCACCCGCTTCCTGACCAAGCCTGTAAGTACTAAAATAAAAACAAACTTGAACCAAAACTTTTTGTTATGTTTTTAATTACATTTGAAATAAATATTATTAAAATCAGGGGTGGAAAGTAACAAATTACATGTACTCACATTACTGTAATTGAGTAGTTATTTTGTGAATTTTTACTTTTTAAGTATTTTTTTAAATGTGTACTTCTACTTTTACTTAAGTATTTTTTTTCTAAAGTATTGTAGTTTGCTACATTTGAAATCATATACGTTAC